TGCTGCTGCTGCTGCTGCTGCTGTTGTTGTTGTTGCTGGTGCATCTGGGCCAGTTGCGCCGCCTGAGCCTTGGCCTGCGCCTTGGCTTCGGCCGCCGCCTGCGCGTTGGCTGCCTCTTCGCGTGCGTAGGGATTGTTGATGAGCGGCTGCGCCTGCTGACGCGCCGCTGCCGGGTGGTACGCCTGCTGCTGTGCCAGATGCTGATTGTACGCCGCCGCGTCCTGGAAGTTCTTGTTCGAGGGCCGCGAGGAGCTCTGCTGCGCGCCCACCAGTCCACCGTACGGATGCTTGGCCGCATCGGACGTCTTGGGCCGCGACGAGGAGGAGGAGGAGCTGGCGCCACCGGTGGTCGCGACGCTGGTCGGGATCAATGGAGGCCGGAAGGGCTTGGAGAACTTTTCGCCCGTGATGAAGGGATGCAGCTTGGCCTGCTGGGGCGTCCAGCGCTCGTGCGGATTCATGTTGAGGAGGCCGGTGACAAAGTCGATGAAGCTGCTGCGGTTGGCCATCTCCTTTTGCACGTCGGCCGACTTGCCGCTCTTGCGAGACATGGGATAGGTCTTGACAATGTCGGAGAGCGTCGTCGCTTTAAAGTACTTTTTGGAGGGCTGCTCCTGGACGTTGTGCTCCTTGGAGTACTGGTCGATCGACTTGAGGCGGTAGCTCTTGCGGCCGTACTCGTCGGTAAAGACGCCAAAGAACTCCTGGGTCTGCTTGCCGTTGTCGAGCATCCACTGCGGAGGCAGTCCAAACATGTCGACGATGCGGCAGATCTGGTTGTACTCGCTGGTGCCCGGGAAGAGGGGTAAGCCGAGGAAGAGCTCGACGGCGATGCAGCCGAGCGACCACATGTCGATGGCCGAGTTGTAGGGCAAGCCGAGGAGCACCTCGGGGGAGCGGTAGAAGCGCGACTGGATGTAGGTGTAGACGGTCTGCTTTTCGTGGCAGGCGGAGCCAAAGTCGACGAGCTTGATGGAGGGCGTCTGGAGCGTCTTGAGCAGGATGTTCTCGGGCTTGAGGTCGCAGTGGATGAGGCGCGCCTCGTTGAGCACGGTGAGGGCGTCGAGGAGCTGCGCGGTGAAGACGCGCACGAGGCTGGTGCTGAGGCCCTGGAAGGAGTTTTGCTTGATGAGCTCGTAGAGGTTGGAGGAGAGGAGCTCGAGGACGAGGCAGAGGTGCTTTGCGTGGATAAAGGTGTCCTTGAGACGCAGGATGTGGTGCTCGTCTTGGGGATCCCAGTTGCCGTTGAGCATCTCGAGCACGGTGACCTCCATCATGCTCTGGTTGAAGTAGGCGGGCTTGTTCTTGATGACCTTGACGGCGACGATCTCGTGGGTGGTCATGTCCTGGCACTTGACGACCTGGCCAAAGGTGCCCTGGCCGAGGATGTCGAGGATGAGGTACTTGTGGCCCTCTTCGGTGCCGAGCCAGTCGTTTACGTAGAGGATGTAGTCGCTGTCCTCGTTGTCGCGGCCGTCGTTCTGGACGGGCTTGCCCTTTGTGAGGACGCGTCTTGGGTTGAAACTGAGCTCGTAGAAGAAGGCGGGGTTGACGAGGTGGTAGGTGTGATGGAGATAGGCGGTCAAGGCTTTGAGCGGGCTCACGAAACCGCCTGCGGGATCGGCGCGTCTTGTTGTGGCTCGCGCCGCGGCGGTGGCTGCC